GACAACTGGCTCACGTGGTGTTGGCTCTGACGTCCACATACACTGTGGGACTCGCAAATACACACAAAACACATGTGCTTTTTAAAAGTTAAACGATGCCTTTGCACAGGTTCTTTATTGTGTTTTGTGCAATATTGTTTGTCCTCCCTCCCTCCCTCCCTCCCTTTCCCAGAGACAGGTTCTTCCTATATAGCCCTTGCTGACCTAGAACTCACCATGTAGACCAGGTTAGCCTTGAACTCAGAGATCTACCTACCTCTGCCTCCAGAGGTTTAATTTAAATTGTAGTTGGTTAGATGTTAGAAGGCCCCAGACAAAATTATTTTGGGAGTTTCAGTAATTTTTTTTTAAGAGTAGAAAGTGGTTCTGGAATCAGGAAGTTTGATAGCTGCCATTCCCTAGTGAGCATGGCAGGAACATGAGCTGGGGAGGCAGGTGTTGGCAGGCCAGGTTGTGACACCAGGTGACCTCCCCTAAATATTCTTTAGCTGGCGTGAACCCAGGCACTCAGAAAGACTCCTGGCCCCTTTGATAGGGCCAGAAGAGCCAGGCTGTGGCGGCCCAGCTCAGCTACTCCTGAGACAGGAGTCACAGGCTCCTGGGAGTCTGAGGTGTCCATCTGTTCAGCAGGGACAGTAAGCCTCCTGCACAGGGGAATTACCAGTCTCCTGGCTAATAATGCTGGTGAGAAAAGGCTGTCTAAGTTGTGAAACACTCCATAGATAATTATTTTGTAGTTGTCTTGTCTGGAACCACTATGCTTAGCTGCCTAAGACCCCATAAAAACTGTCCCATACAGAGCACAGTAAGTGATTGTCCCCCTTTCCTTAAAAGGGACCCCACTCCTACCCTTCTGTGTACCTTGTCTCCCTTTTCCAGACACGGTATGGGCTAGCCTGTTACTCTGGGAGAGTGCATTGATGCTGTCACTCTGCCTAGCTTGGGACTTGAGGAAGAGGTGCCAGGAGGCCAGGCTCCTGTGTCTGTTCGTGGCCACCGCCCACTCACCCACCGCCTGCCTGCCTGCTGTAGGGCCAGGAGCCACCACTGGGAGAGGAAGTGCAGTCGGTTACCAATTGGGCTATTTTCATAACGGCTGTCTCTGTCTCCGGCTTGAGGGAGGAGGGTGGGGAGGGGGAGGGGGCAGAGGAGCAGCCGCTGCAGCTAGCTCTCCAAACTAGGACTTGCTCAGTAGAGTCCGACAGCCAGAGCAACCTGGAGCAAGAGCCGAGGCGCCTGGGACCCCAGCCCCCCACCTGCTTGTCCACCTCTTGCCTGCTGCCTTGCCTTCCAGATCAGGTCAAAGGGGGACTCCCCTCTCTTCCTTACCTCCTGTTCTCTCCTACGACTGTCTGGGTGGATTTGGGAAGGGTAGATCAGGGTAGGCCCAGGTACTACCATCCCTAGATGAGGGCCTCCTCTGCCAGCCCTACCCCTATCTGTTAGAAAAGGAACAGGGCCTGGAGGGCCCACTAAGTCTGGGCAGAGTCTGAAATGGCTGATTGGCTATCAAGCCACACTCGTGTCCTCCAGTCCTGGCCCACCTGTTCTATGTGTGCTGTCCTTGTTTTGTTTGGGCAGAGTCTCTTTAGTGAGGACACTTGGTAAAGTCAGCACCCTGCCTAACCAGCTCAGGCAAGCCTAGGTGAGCAGGCTGCCCTCCCAGCCTTTTCTCCTTCCCCAAACCTGGGGTTGTAGGAGCTGAGCGACCAGGGGTGCCTTCTAGCAAGCAATCCCCCTGACCCAGGGGGGCCCTCTCTCTGGGACTTGTAGAGTACAGGTGCCCTACCCCAGGCCCAGCCTTCATGGGACAGAGGTCTGTGGGCCCTTCCCGTGGCATGACGTAGCCACTGTAGCAGGACCCATCTGGTGTCCTGTGCAGGTTCCTCTGGAGGCAGAGGATTCCCTGAGGACCAGCCTGTTGCCAAGTGCAGAGGGCACTCCCCTTGAGGAGCAGACACCCAGGTGCGTGTTGTTCCTCATGTGGTGAGTGGTGGCCTGGTACTCTTGCTTCCTTTCCTGGGCTCCCACCCCTGCTATGGGCAGAGACAAACCTCAGGAGGTGGCCCGACCATAGGCCCTGAGGTTCTTTCATCCCCAGGTCTGCCAAGTAGCACCGGCCTCTCCGTGCTTCGTCTCAGTGTCCCTTGTGCTGGCCTCTGAAGTTGGGGCATGTGACCCCATCTTGTGCATGGGAAAGTAGATTTGGAATGGCTAGGTGATCTGCTGAAGGGCGTGGTGGCAGATGCTAGGTTCTAAAGTTCTAAAGTTTGTATTTATTTACAAACATGTTTCATGTAGCCCTAGCTGACATTGAACTTGCTGTGTAGTCCAGGATGACTTTGCTGTGTAGTCTGCCTCTGCCTCCCAAGTACTGGGGATTACAAGGTCGCACCACTATACCAGGTTTTCCATCACCCCCTTCCTAGCTGGTGGCTGAGGAAGCCCTGGGGTCCATGAATCAATCCCATGGGTAACTCCTGCCTTAGCTTGGCGGCTGCAGGTCTGCTCAAGGGCGCATGGCCTGGTACCACCATGCCTGTCTCCATCATGGCATCCCCCTCTCTCCCATCGACTCTGTCCCGTCCGGATCCTGGGCATCAGGTGGAGATTAATGGGGTCCTCTGAGCCATCTTTTTTTTGTTTTGTTTGTTTGTTTTGTTTTGTTTTTCGAGACAGGGTTTCTCCATATTGCTTTGGAGGCCAACTCACAGAGATCCGACTGCCTCTGCTTCTGAAGTGCTGGGATTAAAGGCTTGCACCACTGTGCTGGGCTTTATTATTATTTCTATTTCTTTTTAAGACAGTTATATACTGTAGCCCAGACTAACACGGAATTCGCATGTAGCCTAGGTTGGCATCAAACTTACAGCAGTCTTCCTGTCTTAACCTCCCAAGTGCTGGGAAAATAGGCAGGAGCTGCCAGGCCCAGCCCAGCCTCGGCCTCTGATTAGATCCTGGAGAAGCCTCTGCAGAGATAGCAAGTGAGGAGTCAGGCCATCTTGGGCCAGTAGACCAAAGTTTCTATGGAGATGAGATGAACAGGAAACATGGGACCAGCAGGAGGGGCTGTGGGAGGCCAGTGTTGTTTGGGGATGGTAGTGTCTGGCAGGGGAGCTTGTCCTAAGATGCCAAAAATTCTTAACAGTCTTCTTAGACAAACAGGGAAACGGAGGCCCAGGGTGTGTGCTCATGCATTGACTTGGCTTTGTGCTCCACGGGGCGGCTGCACCCGGGCAGCTGAGGAAACCTTGTACAAGTGTGTCCTGGAGCACCCCGGCAGTGGGGTTCTGCAGTTGTGCGTGTAAGCTGCCGTATGTCCTAACAAGAGCTGCTTCCTTCATGCAGGTCTGGGACAGCAGGGAGGCCCAGCCTTTACCACTGCCCAGAGTGGTAAAGCACCTCCCCCACACCCACTGTGGCCTTTTGTTTTCTGGGTGACACTAGCATCAGGCGGTGTGATGTGTCCGGGTGACTAATCTCCTCCAGGCTGGGCAGCTGTCACAGTGGCCTGAGCAGAGTGATGGGGAAAGCTGACACCCTAGGGAGACCTGGCAAGTGAGGCAGCTAGACCTGCAGGCTCCTCTTCCTGGGGTAGAAAGTGGACCCTAACCCAAGTAGCCCTGGGCACAGGACCTGCACTTTGCCACTGGTTGGCTGTGTGACTCTGGGCATTCTCTTACCACTGTGAACCTCATCCTTCTTTGTATAATGAAGCTGTTGGTCCTGCCTCCCTCAGAGTCTGTGGTAGGATCAGTGAGGGGTAGAGGGTTTACCCCAGGCCTGCCACAGGGTAGGTGCTGGTAAATAGGATGAGTATTAATATTATGGGCCCTTTCTCTAACCCATCTGCCCTCCATCCCAGGGTCCAAGAGGACCTTGTACTCCACCCGCCCCTGGGGACAGGTCCTGGGTCTGCTCTATACTGTCTGCCTGTGGGCTTTGTGTATGCTACCCTTTTATGCCTTAGTTTCCTCATCAGGCACTGTGTGTGTGTGTGTGTGTGTGTGTGTGCGCGCGCTCGCGCGCACGCGCGCGCGTGCGCCCACGCACACGTAGTGGACTCAGGAAACGTTAGCTGGATGACCCTGACTTTGGGAGGAAACTGGCCCTCTTCTGCCAGTGTTTCTGGAACTCACCTCATGTCCAGTCCCGGTGTTGTTTTCCAGTACAGCTACCTCCCTGTTCACTGATTGCAGGAGTTGTCTCCTGGGCCCACTTCCTTCTCTGTCACACTCTATACTGTCCCTGAAGCTACCTGCCCAACCCATGGCAAGGATAGATGGAGGGTTGAGATCAGGGGCTACATAATCAGGTGGGACTAATGCCCCCCCCCCCCACTACCCTCTTTCTTGCCTGTTGATGGTTAAGAGCACCTCACCTCTGTTCTGGACTTCAGCCAGGCCCTCAGTGGGCAGAAATTGCCTGCCAACCTAGTAGTACTCCTTTATGCTGTAATTTGTTCCATGGCTGTGACTTGGAGCTACCAACCTCAGCTGACTGGGGGCTTCCTGCCATTCCTCAAGTATAGAAGAGATGTGAGCAGAGGAAGCTGATCCCAGTAGCCTGGGAAGGAGGATAGAACAGGGAAGTAGGTAAAAGAGAGAGCCTCTGGAGAGCTTGCATGGCCTGGCATACACACCGAGAATGGAGACCAAGGCCCCTGCCCTCGCCTCAAGATTAGAATTGAGTCTGAGGCTTCAAGCTTTGGAGTCCAGGGACAGTGTGACGCACTGTGTCCTTCTACAGGAAGGCTTAAGGAGTTTTCAGGCTTCACACCTTGGGCTGTCCATACTCTTCTGCTCTTCAGAAAGGTGAATGATGAGACGGAGCCACTCAGTACCAGGAAGTTCTTAGAGATGTGTACACATGGCATACAGAATTCAGAAGGCTTTTCTTGTAGCCTAAGCCTCTTACTGCATCCCCAAGTTAAGACAAGAGCACTCTTTCCTGGGTGGGTGGGTGGGTGGGTGGGTGGGTGGGTATGCCTTTCCAACTCTCTAAAGCCTGGTTTCCCAGTGTCTGAACCCAGGTTGGGACTGAGTATAGGGATCCTATCAGGACTGAGGTCCTTTGCGGAGAAGCCTGAGTCTGTCTGTCTGTCTGTCTGTCTGTTTTTGTTTGCTTAGTTGCACTGTATCCCAAGAGAGGAACCCAACCTGTTGCTTCTGGGGCAAAAGGGAGTTCAGATGAGAGAGAAAGGCTCCAGGGTCCTGTGGTCTAACCTAGGCAGAGTCTGGTTCCCAGATAGCTCTTTGTTTTCATTTCTGGCAAAGTCTCTGTAGGTTGTAGTCCCTAGGCAGATAAATCCCCATCTCCTGAAAACTCCTGGGTTAGAATTTGGGAAATTCTAGCTGGGAACAGTGTCTGCTCTCCAGTAGCTGTAAGCCTGGGCTTGCCGCTCTTCCTGGTACCTGCAAGCACTTTAGTGGAGATCAGAGTGCCCTCTCCCTAGCACCTAAGTGCGCCTTCTTTGCTCAGCTCCTGACACTCCGAGTCTGTGTGCCCAACAGCCCCTGGCATGGAGACCTTCTTTAGGAGGCATTTCCAGCGGAAGGCACCAGGTCCCGGAGAGAGGCTGCAGCGGTCCAGTGGTGTGGGGCTGCCCACAGGCAAGGCTCGACGCCGCTCCCCTGCAGGGCAGGCCTCCTCCTCCCTGGCCCAGAGGCGCCGCTCCAGTGCACAGCTCCAGGGCTGTTTCCCCAGTTGCGGTGTGGGCACCCAGAGGGCCAGCCGCAGGCGCTCCAGCACTGCACCCCCTACCCGCAATCCCCGCTTCGTGGTGGATATGGTGCCCACCCTACAGCCTGCCACTGTTGGGGCCCAGCTTCTGGGGGCACCCCTGCTATTGGCTGGGCTCGTGGGCATGAAGGAGGAGGTGGAGGGAGATACCAAACCAGGCACCGGGACACCAAGGTCCTCCTCACACCAGGGCACCTGGCCGTTGCTTCCCATGCCCCTCTGCCTGCGCAGAGCCTCCTCCCATCTGCTTCCTGCTGATGTGGTATATGGCCATACTCTTTGGGGCCTGCATGGGCACTATCGTCGCCTCAGCCAGCGGTGGCCCTCAGGCCAGCACCCAGGTCTTGGGAGCCGAAGCCAGAGAGCCTCGGGCACTACAGCAGGCCCCATGGTACCTGCCCGCATGCACCCACTGTCTCGCAGACGCCAGGTAGCTCTAAGGCGGAAGTCAGCTGGACCCCAGCCCTGGAACACCCTGCTTATGTAGGTATAGCAGCGGTCAGTAGGGCGTGTGCTGTAGCTTCCTTGGGGCCTGGCTCAGAGTGAGGACTTTGAAGCTCTGCCTAGCCTGGGGGTGGCCCACTTGGAAGAAGCTCTGGGTATCACGTGGAGAAATGGCCTGAAGAGCCTCGGGGCAGCTAAGCCCCTGTGGGCTTCTCTATCTTGTACTTTGTGGGAGTCTCGGGAGGCAGCTTTTCTGGGTAGCGGGGAAGGAAGTAGCGTCTGTCAGCAAGCTCCCAGAGGCCCTGGACCTTCAGTCATCCTCCTTTCTGTAGGAAAGCCATCACCAAGTCAGGCCTCCAGCACCTGGCACCCCCTCCTCCCACGCCTGGGGCCCCGTGTGGTGAATCTGAGCGGCAGATCCGGAGCACGGTGGACTGGAGTGTGAGTATCTGTACTAGGCAGGGCAGGAAGCTCGAACACTACTCAGGGCCCAGGGCTTATGGGCAACTGGGAGAGAAGCCCACATGTCTGGGCAGACTTCCAAGGGGGAGGCAGCAGCCTTTGAGCCAGGCTTAAAGCAGTTTGGAAAAGGAGAGGAAAGATTGTGGGGGCTTATAGCAGACTTTGTCTTGGGAGGTGGATGATGGGTAGGGTTGGGCCAGCAGTTAAGCACTAAGCCTGCTCATCCCATGGGTTAGGAGTCAGCAGCGTATGGGGAGCACATCTGGTTTGAGACTAACGTGTCGGGTGACTTCTGCTATGTCGGGGAGCAGTACTGCGTAGCTAAGATGCTGGTGAGTGATCTTGGTGGGACCTGCTGCCCCCTGGTGGTGTAGACCTGCAAGGCAACAGCTGCAGCCCTTGGTAGGCACTGCTCTCACCTGGTTGCACTTGCTGTGGGCTGCCCCAGGGGGAGGGGGAGGGGTTGTCTGATGACAGGTGCTGGGACTGGAATCCCCATACATAGAACATACTCTCTGCTTGCCCTGAGGTGGCATCTAGGGTGGAGTTTCCTGGTGCCTCAGGGCCTCCCCTCTTTCTGTCCTGCAGCAGAAGTCAGTGCCCAGAAGAAAGTGTGCAGCCTGTAAGATTGTGGTACACACCCCATGCATCGAACAGCTGGAGAAGGTACGTGTAGCTGCTCAGCCTCTTGTGCCCTCCTCTTGGGATACCGAAGCTTTCTTGATAGACACACATGTGTCTCCATGCACATCCGTGTTACACAAGCACAGCTTGCCAGGAAAGACCCAGCAAGCACAGTAGCGAAGCCCCTGGGTCAGATGCTGCATTTAACCCTGCCTCTCCCCGTTTGTTAGCTTTTGTACCTTACTCTGTAGAACGAGCATGGCCTAGAAGTGAGGTTCATTGAATATTACCTAATGGTGGTGGCCAGTGTGCCGTTTTACTGCCTAACATCCAGAAGAGCCATTGGGGGCTGGGGCAGTTGTAATGCCCTAGCTTCAGTCTCCAGTTCCAGAAAATAAAAACACAACAGCTGGGCTGGAGAGATGGCTCAGCGGTTAAGAGCACTGACTGCTCTTCTAGAGGACCCAGGTTCAGTTCCCAGTACCCACATGGCAGCTCACAACTGGCTGACTCCAGGGTCTAGCACACTCACACAGAGATACATGCAGGCAAAACACCAATGCACATAAAATAAAAATAAATTATTTTTTAAAACCACAACTGTCAAACTTGCGAATGCTCAGCTCATCTGTGACTGGGTCCATTTGTGTAAATGCTGCCTCTGTAAAGATATTTCCCAAGACCATTTTCCAAGCAAGCATGTCTTTTTTTTTTTTTTTCCGAGATAGGGTTTCTCTGGTTTTTTTTTTTTTTTTTTTTTTTTTTGGTTTTTCCAGACAGGGTTTCTCTGTAGCTTTGGAGGCTGTCCTGGAACTCGCTCTGTAGACCAGGCTGGCCTCGAACTCACAGAGATCCGCCTGCCTCTGCCTCCCGAGTGCTGGGATTAAAGGCGTGCGCCACCAACGCCCGGTTTCTCTGTATTGTTTTAGAGGCTGTCCTGGAACTCGCTCTGTAGACCAGGCTAGCCTCGAACTCACAGAGATCCACCTGCCTCTGCCTCCAGAGTGCTGGGATTAAAGGCGTGCGCCACCAATGCCCAGCCCAAGCATGTCTTTGGAAAAGGGGAATGTCAGGCCAGGTACCGTCAAGACAGGGACTGGGCCTGGTATGGAAGGTACAAACTCTTGTTTTCAAAGTCCAGGCCGTCATGTGACAAAGTCTTTAAGAACAGAAATGCCCCCAGCAAGGCTAGTTTGGGCTGATTTCTCCAGTCCCTGAGTTATACAGTGAGGCTTTCCTGTGACTCTTCTGAGACTGAAGCAGACACTGTTGGGGAAAGAAAAGTAGGAATGTATCCCTGGCTGGGCATAGTGTGGCATGCCTGTAATCCCAGCATTTGGAAGGCAACATTCTCTTCAAGTTCAGAGCCAGTCTGGTTTACGTAGAGTTCCAGGACAGTCAGGGCTGAGTGTGAGAGTGTGTGTGTGTGTGTGTGTGTGTGTGTGTGTGTGTGTGTGTGTGTGTGTGTGTGTGTGTGTGAGAGAGAGAGAGAGAGAGAGAGAGAGAGAGAGAGAGAGAGAGAGAGAGAGAGAGAGAGAGAGAGAGAGGAGGGAGAGGAGGGAGAGGGAGGAGAGGAGGGAGAGGGAGGAGGAGAGAGGAAGAGAAGGAGAGGGAGGGAGAGGGAGAGAGAAGGAAAATACAGCCCCATCATGGAAGGTGACCATGAACCTGGGTTTAGCACATTGGCTGAGGGACTCCAGGGGTCAGACTGTACAGCCACAGGGAGGATTGGTTCCTGCCTTCACTTGACCTGGGAATGCTGGAGGGTGAGAAGTAAGTAAGTAAGATGGGCAAACAGTGCCCCCACAGCGTAAGGAGTCCCACCCCCACCCTAGCGTCTCCATCCCTGAGTCCTAAATAAAAGAAAACAAGAAGAGGAAAGACCACTTCTGAGATGGGCACCCCTGCTCCAAGGTGCTCCTGGGATGACTTGGGACTCGACTTGCCTGTGAGCTTGACTCTAGGTGACCTTGTCCAAAAAAAAAAGGCTGTGACGTTTTTCTGATCACTGCAATATTTCACAGATCAATTTTCGCTGTAAGCCATCCTTCCGTGAATCAGGCTCCAGGAACGTCCGTGAGGTAAGAGTGCAGGACAGCAGTGAGCAGGGAGGCCCAGGCTCCTGAAGTCCTGGGGAGTGCCACCAGGGGGTTCAGCTTCTGGGCTAAGGTTTTGGGGTTACCCAGAGAGAAAGTCAGCTGTCCTGACTGCAGAGGGGTAGGGTTCAGCCTTCCCTCAGACCGTGGAGAAAAGTCTTCAGTCCCTTTATCTGCCTACACGGTTATGAGAGGGCTTCTTGTAGACTTAGAGTGAGTTCAGGGCTGTACCTGTGTAGCCCCTCACTCCTTTCTCCCCTCCCCCAGCCAACCTTCGTAAGACACCACTGGGTCCACAGGCGGCGCCAGGATGGCAAGTGTCGGCACTGTGGGAAGGTAAGAGCGCTGTCTGAGGGCACCAGCTACATGCTGCCCGCTGGCCCTGTGTATTCAGTGGGACACTGACAATAGCTCCAGAGCGAAGTCTCGGGTGTTTGCCTGTGAGTTAAGCAAAGGAGGGAAGATGATTTTCTTCTGATGTGGGGTATCTGACCTTTGAACTTGCAAGAGACCCTTTGAGAACTGTATTGACTTCTCACTAATTAATTCAGTAGTTTCTTTCTTTCTTTTTTTTTTTTTTTCTTTTTCTTTTTTTGGTTTTACGAGACAGGGTTTCTCTGTATTGTTTTGGAGGCTGTCTGTCCAGCCCGGCCTCGAACTCACAGAGATCTGCCTGCCTCTGCCTCCCGAGTGCTGGGATTAAAGTCATGCGCCACCACCGCCCAGCCCCGTAGTTTCTTGGGAGCTGTTGTGTTTGACATCCTGAGCTAGGCAGCAGTCGCTCTGCCTCCTGAGGACAGTGACTTGTGGCCTGACTGCTGGGGACATCTTCCCCACACAACACTGTTGCTCACCCACTGCTGATCGCTTCTCTGTCTCCCTCAGTAAGACAGGCTCTCAAGAATGCGGGCTCATCCCGCTTTTGAGAATGCTTCACGGACAGGGCACAGATACGATGGTTCAGTAAGGAGGCAGCACAGAACTTTCATGAGGCCTGTCTAGGTCAGGGGGCAGGGAGGAAGCCTGAGTTAGGCAGATCTCCAGAGTACACTCGCAGCACTCTGCAGTCAGCTGAAGTTCTTGTGGGCTCTTTGCCAGGCTTCCCTGCTCTGCCCTTAGGCCTTATTTTATATTTTGAAGTTTTGGGGTGTGCGTGCGTGCGTGCGTGCGTGCGTGCGTGCGTGTGTGTGTGTGTGTGTGTGTGTACGCACACATGCACATTTTCCTGGGTTGGGAGGGGTTGGGGGCAGCAGCATAGCCACCTTGTGCCCTAGTCACCGTGTCCCACCCACAGGGCTTCCAGCAGAAGTTCACCTTCCACAGCAAGGAGATCGTAGCCATCAGTTGCTCCTGGTGCAAGCAGGCTGTAAGTGGCCTCTGTGCCTGTGCTGGGCTTCTGGTGGGTCCCCAGTCTCATCCTGGCCTGGCTCAGCCTTGCTAATGACTATCTTCCAGTACCACAGCAAGGTGTCCTGCTTCATGCTGCAGCAGATTGAGGAGCCCTGCTCCCTGGGGGTGCATGCAGCTGTGGTTGTCCCCCCCACGTGGATCCTACGGGCCCGGAGGCCCCAGGTGAGTCCTTTACTCTTAGTGCCTCTCCCCATGGGACCCTCCCTTCCCATGTCACCCACACGCCTGATTCCTTTGCAGAATACCCTCAAGGCCAGCAAGAAGAAAAAGAGAGCATCCTTCAAGAGGAGATCTAGCAAGAAAGGACCCGAGGTTAGACCTGGGCTGGGGTGATTGGGCCCAGGAACTAGAGAGGGGAATCTTTCTCTCTCCAGGACCTTTGGACCATACTGCCAGTTTAGCCTGGCTCAGGTTGGGCTCTAGGGGTCTGAGGAGGTGGGAGATCAACTTAATGAAGTTGTGGACAGGGCCATGTCGGGTCTGCTACATGAGGGTGTGCTCACTTGTGGCAGGGGCTGTTAAGTTTGGCTCTCCAGGACAGGAAAGCACCTTACAGGCTTTCTGTCCCCCAGGAAGGCCGCTGGAGACCCTTCATCATCAGGCCCACCCCGTCCCCCCTCATGAAACCCCTGCTGGTGTTTGTGAACCCTAAGAGTGGGGGCAACCAGGTAAGCATGAGCTTTCTACCCACGAGCCACGGGTGAGGAGGTAGCCGGTGCTACCCACGGGCCTACAGTTGTTGTCAGCCACCATCTGGGCCTTCACCTGAGAGGACACGGTCTCACCTCACCATTTATTATGTTAGTTCCACAACCTTATCCCCTCTCTGTGCCCTGACCCCCGTTCCTTCATACCTCCCTCATTGTCCCTCGACTGTTCCTGCAGGGCGCTAAGATCATCCAGTCTTTCCTGTGGTATCTGAATCCTCGACAAGTCTTTGACCTGAGCCAGGGGGGACCCAGGGAGGCGTAAGTTCTCCAGCAGGTTCTCTGAGACACTAGGGGCTTGCCTCGTTCTAGCTGTGTCACATGTCTCCTGACTTTGTTCCTGTCCTCCCCTGGCCTAGGCTGGAAATGTACCGCAAAGTGCATAATTTGAGGATTCTGGCTTGCGGGGGTGATGGAACGGTGAGTTCTGAGGGTGTGTCTCGGGCTTGACGCACTACTCCCCCACCTGGGGCCTGACTGACCCACTTTGCTCTGCCCTCCTCCAGGTTGGCTGGATTCTCTCCACCCTGGACCAGCTGCGCTTAAAACCACCGCCCCCTGTGGCCATCCTGCCCCTGGGTACTGGCAATGACCTGGCCCGCACTCTCAACTGGGGTGGGGTAAGTGCCCTTCAGAACAGGGATGCCGGGAGGAAGGGCATCCTTGGACCACAGGGAAAGCTCAGTTTCAGCCTCCTCCTACCAGGGTTACACAGATGAACCTGTGTCAAAGATCCTTTCCCATGTAGAGGAGGGGAATGTGGTACAGCTGGACCGCTGGGATCTCCGAGCGGAGCCCAACCCTGAGGCCGGACCCGAGGAGCGAGATGACGGAGCCACTGACCGGGTAGGTCAGCCAGGGCTTGGGCGGGTTCTCAAGGACCTGGCTGGACAACTGCTACCTGGTTCTGGGCAGCTGAATCCCCAGGTTTTCACATTCCAGCCTCTTTCTGTCCCAGGAGCATACTGGTAACATTACCAGGTGGTTTCTTACTCAGCCTCCTGGCGCATGCTAAGTGAAGGCGGCCTCCAGCATGCCCGGCTCTGCCCTAAGTCCCTATTCCTGGGGTTGGTGCAGTATATGGCATGTGGGGATACAGTGTTGTAAGGGCCCAGCAGATCCTCCAAGGAGCTGCCCTCCCCTTTCAAAGCTGGAAGAGTAGGGCCTCCCAAGCAGTGCTGCAGGGGTGGATGGGGAAACACATTGTTTACTTGCCTTTAAAAGTAGATGGCCTGAGTAAGGGCCTTGGGAAGAGCTGACACCCAAGTCACCTCCTCATTTCTACACCTTGACATTTTTCTAGCTGCCCCTGGATGTCTTCAACAACTACTTCAGTCTGGGCTTTGATGCCCATGTCACCCTGGAGTTTCATGAGTCTCGAGGTTAGCATCCTCCTACTAAAGGATCCTTGGGAGGCCAGGGCAAGAGTATCCCAAGGAGGGCCAGACCTTCCTCCCTTAGTCTTCTTCCCCACCCTAGCCTGCTGGGAAGCAAGACCAGCAGGTCGACTGACATCACCACCCCCTGTTTCTACTAGAAGCCAACCCAGAGAAGTTCAACAGCCGTTTCCGGAATAAGATGTTCTATGCTGGGGTGAGTCTGGGGCCAGCCAGCCTCCAGCCCACTGTGTGCAGTTCACAGGAGCCCCGTGACACAGTGGTGAGGGAAGACCCCTGTCACAAGTTGATGACAGACACCTTCTGTCTCCTACAGACGGCCTTCTCTGACTTCCTGATGGGCAGCTCCAAGGACTTAGCCAAGCACATCCGAGTAGTGGTGAGGAGGGCTGACTGACACAGCGGAGGGCCCAGTAGGAGGGAGGCCATCCGGGTACGTGTGTTCTCCAACCCTCCCTGTCCTGTGTCCAGTGTGATGGAATGGACCTAACCCCCAAGATCCAGGACCTGAAGCCGCAGTGCATCGTCTTTCTCAACATCCCCAGGTGAGGAAGCTGGGCTCCGTGGGCTCTGCTGTCCCACCCTGCTGAGTCCATGCCAGAGCCCATCTATTGCCCTCCTGGTAGGTACTGTGCAGGCACCATGCCCTGGGGCCACCCTGGGGAGCACCATGACTTCGAGCCTCAGCGGCATGATGACGGCTACCTCGAGGTCATCGGCTTCACCATGACATCCTTGGTGAGTTGGTCCTAGTCCCAAACTGTCTCTGTCCTTCCCTTCACGAGCCGTGGTAGAGTGGTCACCTAGGCACCTTTCTCGGCCTAAGGCTCCATGCCCTCTGTTTCCTAGCTGGACAGTGACTCTCAGCCTCCTTCCTCAGGATGTAGCTGAGGGCGTTTTTACTTCCCATCTGATGCGGGAATCGTCAGTGCCTCTGTCTTGTCCATCCATTCTGCCTTCTGTCTGGGGTTCCCTCTTGTGCTATCCATAACCTCACCAGAGCATCGCTGGGAAGAGCAGAGCTTGCCCCTCCCACCGCCTGACCTGAGCGTTCTGTGCCCACAGGCGGCGCTGCAGGTGGGTGGTCACGGCGAGCGGCTCACCCAGTGCCGAGAAGTGCTGCTCACCACGGCCAAGGCCATCCCTGTGCAGGTGGACGGTGAACCCTGCAAGCTTGCAGCGTCACGCATTCGAATTGCCCTTCGCAACCAGGCCACCATGGTGCAGAAGGCCAAGCGCCGGAGCGCCGCCCCACTGCACAGCGAGTAGGTCCTGCGTTAGCCATCACGGGCTGGGGGCCTGGGGTCAGGCGCCGCTTTACTTGAGTTTTGGTTTCCTGACCGGCAAAGGGGAACTTGTAGATGAGAGAGCAGTTACTTAGCATGCATGAGGCTCTAGGTTGCCCTGGCATCCAGAATCAACAGCTTTGGGACGGAGGCAGGATGCCCCTCTGAGTACCTGGCCTTGTTCCCTTGCTGAGTTCCCTGTCACTGGCCCCACCCTGCAGTCAGCAGCCAGTTCCCGAGCAGCTGAGGATCCAGGTGAGCAGGGTCAGTATGCACGACTATGAGGCTCTACATTATGACAAGGAGCAGCTCAAGGAGGCCTGTGAGTGGCAGCAGGGCTGGGGCAGGGAGGGATGGACAGCTGCTGGGCTGCCTGCAGACATGCCGCAGGGCCATGCAGCTGAAAGGCCTCTGTCCTGCAGCTGTGCCTCTGGGCACCGTGGTGGTCCCTGGAGACAGTGACCTAGAGCTCTGCCGTGCCCACATTGAGAGACTCCAGCAGGTAAGCCGTGCGAGCAGGAGCAGGTGGGACACCTGGTCTTCCATCCCAGACTGTGGCCCACTCTGGCCTTTGCTACTGTCTCCACAGGAGCCCGATGGCGCAGGAGCCAAGTCCCCGACGTGCCACCAGCTGTCCTCCAAGTGGTGTTTCTTGGATGGTGAGTCTGCCTCGAGGGCCAGTTCTAGGCAGCCTGGGCTGTCCTGCTGGTCCTCCTCTGGGGGACCCTGGGCTGGGACAAGGACAAGGACGTGCTTCATGCTCAACCATCTCTCTCTAGCCACCACTGCCAGCCGCTTCTACAGGATCGACAGGGCCCAGGTGAGCACCGCAGGCTTCTCCAGCCACAGCCAGTCTCTGTGCCCCCCACTCAAACCTGGAGGCGAGCCTCAGGGTTAGCGGCACAGCCAGGCATGCTTACCACAGCCCCATGGCCGTAATATACTCACATGCCTGTGGCTGTGGATCACATGTCCCCACCCTCCAGGAATGCACAGGGATGGTGCCAACAGAAAAAGCTGGCACACCCAGAAAAGGCTTTCTGGGTGGGTGGAAGGGAGGGCCTGGAAGCACAGTGCTATCCAGGGAAACAGAAGAAAATAGCCAGGGCTGGATCACCTGGCCCTGCAGTGGGAAGTGGTTGTTGAGCTGGTGAATGCCGCATGGAGCCGGCAGGGACCAGGGGAAACAACCGTGGATGTGGGCGGGAAGCAGGACTCCCACTCTCTCTGCTGCCTCCCCCTGATGTTCCTGCTCTGAGAGAGGCCTCCCTAGGTCTGCTGCCTTGCTTTCGGCCCCTAAACCCCGCCCTCATTGCTGGGGACTAAAGGCCATGTGTCTGGCACTGACCCTCAGTTCTAACCCCTCCCCCCCACAGGAGCACCTTAACTATGTGACGGAGATTGCCCAGGACGAGATTTATATCCTAGACCCTGAGCTGCTGGGGGCATCAGCCCGACCTGACCTCCCCACCCCTACCTCCCCGCTCCCTGCCTCCCCCTGCTCCCCCATACCCCGGTGAGTCTAAGAGCCCCCTAGCCACCCCCTAAACCCTGTCTGTTGGCTGCAGGCTTGGATCTGGGTCTTTAGTCGCAGCATGAGCGCTCAGGAGCCCCAGGCTCTGTCCCTCTACCGTGGTGCTCCCCACCATCTGCGCCCTCCTCCCCCTCTGCACTCTGCTGCCTCCAGGCCTGTTACTCAGAGTGCCTCAAAGTGCAGGTCCAAACAGGCCACTCCCCGGCCTCGAACCTCTCTTCTCAGCAGCCCTTCAGTCCCAGGCCTCTTGGCCTCTCTGAGCCTAGCCTCTCTCCCTGCCCTTACTTACCACAGTGCCTCAGCCCAGGTCCCTTGAGGTCCCAGACCATCCTCTGGACTTTTGCCCCTGCTGCCTCCCACTTGCCCCTTCTCAGACACCCCCAGCGTCAGCTTGGCTTTTCTCTCTCAGAGGAATTTTTTCCAGGAATGCCACCTAAAGGTTGGAAAGTGTCCAGTGTTCAGTCCCCAGCTGCTTGGTCACACTGCCCTGTTGTGTTTTAATAGCGCTTCCAAATTCCTTATTTATTGGTTGGCTTGTGTCTCTGAACTAGGATGTAAGCCCCATGAGGGCAGGTCTGTCTGGCTCCTGCTTGTACCCCACAGTGTGTGATGTGCAGGAGGCACTCAGTCAACTTTAAAAAGCGAAGGCCACCATGGTTGGGGCCAGGGAAGGTGGTCAGCTGGGTTGAGCGGGGCCACAACTCACCCTGTTCTATTTGTAGGTCGCTGCAGGGAGATGCTGCACGGCCTCAAGGTGAGGCCTCTTCCTTCCCCTGGTGTGTGTGAGGGAGGTTCAGTGGGGATAGGGTCACATAGAGTTGACAAGCACAGCCATTGAGGCCCATGTGATCACGTTCCTGTACAAGCCCAGCCTTGAGCATGTATGCCCCAGCAGGCTCCTTCCATGGACAGTGGCCCAGCATCACACATACTGTTCACACATGAAGCCATGCCCAGCATCACACCTCAGGGTCTGATAGACAGATGTTCTGTGCAGGTGAAGAGCTGATTGAAGCTGCCAAGAGGAATGACTTCTGCAAGGTACTGGTCATAGCTTAGCCTTGCCCCTTGAGCCCCTGGGTGGTCTTAGGCTCTTGTCATCTGTCATCAGCTGGTCCTCCTGTCCAGGTGACTTATTACTAGGGGCTACCTCACCCAGTCTTCCTTCCCTGGTACTTAGAAAGGGGTCAGTCTTAAAGGAACCAAGGCTTGGCTGGCTGTGCATTTTAGGGGAGTCCCTCACATGTAGGATGATAAAAGACTTGTGTCTCTAATGACACCCAAAGAGACCCTCAGAAGCCGGGTGTGGTGGTGCATGCCTTTAATCCCAGGACTCAGGAGACAGAGGCAAGGGGATCTCTCTTGAGTTCAAGGCCAGTCTGGTCTGTGTAAGTGAGCTCCAGAACAGCCAGGACTACATAGAGAGAACCTGTCTCAAAACAACGAAAACCCTCAATGGCTCCTAGCGTGTAACTTGTGTGAGCCTGTGCCTGGGTCCATGCTTGTGCCCTGCCCATTGCCCTCAGCTCCAGGAGCTACACCGAGCAGGAGGTGATCTCATGCACAGGGACCAGCAGAGCCGTACGCTCTTACACCACGCGGTTAGCACTGGCAGCAAGGAAGTGGTCCGCTACCTGCTGGACCATGGTGAGCTGTGCTCCTGGGGCTGGGTGGGAAGGGGGGACTGTCGGGTTCTTAGTACCCTTTCCCTCCTGCAGCACCACCAGACATCCTTGATGCTGTGGAGGAGAAGTGAGTATCTGGGACATAGACCCCGGGTTCACCTCAAAACCACCTTCCCTCAGTCCCAACCATTTGGTCACCCAGAGTCCAAGAACCCTTTCTGGCCAGCATGGGGCACCCCTCCCCCTCTGGCCAAACTCCTTTCTGATGGCTGCTGGGAGACAGCTGGGCAGAGGACTACAAGTGTCCACAACCAGCCCCTGCTTCCCAGCGGGGAGACCTGTCTACACCAGGCAGCCGCCCTGGGTCAGCGCACCATCTGCCACTACATTGTGGAAGCCGGGGCCTCCCTCATGAAGACAGACCAGCAGGTAAGGTGTCTGGCGAGCACAAACCCACCACCCTTTGCAAAAATTGGGGGCAGGGCTAGGAAATTTGAAGCTGCTCTGAGCCAGCACAGTCCAGGCCCTGAGAAACCTGAGCCAGTAGGGGAAACCTTGTGACCTGTGAGGTTATCCCTCCCCCACAGGCTGGGTAGAAGAGCCCTTGCCCTCCCCTAAGGCCTTGGGGCCCCTGTCCTCTTCTCCAGGGCGACACCCCCCGGCAGCGAGCTGAGAAGGCTCAAGACACAGAGCTGGCTGCCTACCTGGAGAACCGGCAGCATTACCAGATGGTCCAGCGGGAGGACCAGGAGACTGCTGTGTAGTTAGGGACCGTGCATCAGCGGGAGGACACTACCAGAGGACCAGAACTCCTCTCCTTGCCACCTCACTGCCACATTCCTGCCGGGTGGCCATGGGGGGACCCTGCCCCAGGGAAGGAGCCCCATGCCACCCCCCAGAAGCCACTCAGATCTAGGGCTGGACTCAGGAGCTGGACTCTCGCCTGTCCCTGGGTTCATGGGGAACAGGAGACTGGCTGGGCTGGCTGGGTCCCTTCAGGGCAGACTTCCCCTCACCACAGCTGATGGAAGGACAAGCCAGGGGAGCCCAGCAGCGACAGGGAGGCCTGCTGTCAGCAGGCTGCTTGGGAGCCACCTGGTCCTTTGGACTGTCTGGAGGCTTCTGGGTGCCTGGCCCTCCTATCTGACCCACCCACTCTGGGCCTCCCTAACTCAAGAGCCTGCTGTATTCATCTGCCCGCTGCCCTGCTTGGCACCTCCCCTGGTGATCCTCATGTACCCAGTCATTTCATTTCGGACTGTATGGCCTGGGGCGGGGGGGGGGGTGTGGGGCTACCACGGTGACTTGTTTACAGCTGGGTGTGACTCAGTAAAGTGAATTTTTTTTCCTTGTTTTCTTTTTTCTTGTGTGGGTCTCTGATAAGCAGCGTCATATGCTGGGTTAATTTAGGAGTGGGGGAGTGGCAGCCGACATCTCAGACAGTTGTGGGGTCCCTAACTGCAATGAATGTGCCCGGCTCCTGACCTCTGCCTAGCAGCTTAGGCTCGCAGGACCAGAGGCGGAGCTGATTGCCTCTGCTTCCCGCTCCCGCTGGGATGATAACAATGAAAGTAAAAGGTGGGCGGGGCCAGGCGTGGGTTCTTTAGTCCCTTGGCCCTGTGCCCTGGAGCAGTCCCCTCCCCCTGGCCTGTGCTGGGGATCTGGTGGAGGTGAGCCTGAGGCCCCAGGGTCAGGGGTGGGCGGTCATCACCTCCGGCAAAGCCCGGTCTGGAACTCCTCCCGACAACCTGTGTCAGCTACAAGGTTTACCAAACTCAGGCCTGCGGGCCTCCCCTCCCTCCTCCAAACCTGCACTAGAAAAAGGGTCTTGAGAGTTGCTCGCCCCCGGACACCTGGGGTTCCGGGTACCCAGCTCCCGGACACATCAGAGCCCTTCCTTGCCCTCTGAGTGAACTGATCCCTAACAAGTCGGAGATGAGCCAGGCGTTGCAGGGAAGGGTCGCGGGTGCAGAGGCCTCCCGGGGCCTGTGACGCCAGGCGAAGTGGTGACCTGAGAGCTGTCGCGGCTGCGGGAGAGGAAAAGGGACAGAGGAGGGCTGCAGGCAAGGGGGAGGAGGTAAATGCTGGGGCTCCAGAGCCGGTGAGAGGACTTGAGCCTCGAGTGGACGGGCAAGACGGGGCCCCGGGGCCGGAGACCCAGAGATCAGAGGTGAGGGGCACAGGCGCAGGAGCCCCGGCTCGGCAAGGGGAGGGAGGGGAGGCGGGGACTAGGGGGTCTGAGGAGGTGCGGGTTTGAGGGGAGGGGGCGGGTCCTTCCATGGGGTGGGGGGAGGGGCGGGGGCCCATGTGACCGGCTCAGACCGGTTCTGCAGACAAAAGGGGCCGCAGCGGTCTTAGCGGGACGGGACCGGCGTAGCGGGAGGGAGCGAAGCATCGCACCAGCAGTGAGCGAGTGAGCGCGCACAGTAGCCGTGGCCTCAGTGCCTCCAGGCTGCTGCCACCAAGGGGGGCTGAGGCCGGGGGTGGGGGGCGACCCTGAGGCCCGGGATAGCGGCTTCAGGTCCTCTCCCGTCGCCCCCCTTGTCGGCCCGACCCTTTGGGCCTGGAAAGTGGGCCAAGTCGGGGTGGGAGGTCTTTCCCGCGGTCTCCAGCGGGCAAGGGAGTGAGCGAGAAACTAACGCAAGCCTTTCCTTTAGGATGCAGCACCGAGGCCTCTTCCTTCTAGCCCTTCTTGCCCTCCTGGCACTCACGTCCGCTGTGGCCAAAAAGAAAGGTGATGGGGTAGGGCGGGCTCGGTGGTCAAGGAGAGGCCGGGGACGGGCAGGGGGCAGGTGAGGCCGCGTGACCCAGGAGCTGGTCTCCGAGGGAGTCTCCGGGCACGCCACGTCCTTAACTCTGCTCCTGGCGCCTTGTAGACAAGGTGAGGAAGGGCAGCCTGGGGAGCGAGTGTTCCGAGTGGACCTGGGGGCCCTGCACCCCCAGCAGCAAAGACTGCGGCGTGGGTTTCCGCGAGGGCACCTGCGGAGCCCAGACCCAGCGCATCCATTGCAAGGTGCCCTGCAACTGGAAGAAAGAATTTGGAGGTGAGGTGGGCACAGGAGGGCGGGGGGCAGCCACGGCGCTCCCCATTTCTCACTCCATGGCCCACTCTCCCGTCAGCCGACTGCAAATACAAGTTTGAGAGCTGGGGGGCGTGTGATGGGAGCACTGGCACCAAAGCCCGCCAAGGGACCCTGAAGAAGGCTCGCTACAACGCCCAGTGCCAGGAGACCATTCGTGTGACCAAGCCCTGTACCTCCAAGAGCAAGTCGAAGGCCAAAGGTCAGTGAATACGGTGCAGTTATGGACCTGGCTAGTGACTTCCTGCCATCTCTTCAAAGCACTCTTAGAATTGGGAATGGGCAGGCACCTGAGGGCCACTCCACGAGGTGCTAAACCCTCTCTGCCCGAGTAGGAACTACTCTTCCTGTTGGCTCATCCGACCTGGGTTCCTGGAAAAGGCTTGCCTTTGTCACCTGAAGAGGTGCTGTTAGGTTGGGTCAGGGAGGAGTTCCCCGTGCCCGTAAAACTATAGGAAAGATGTCCCAAAGGGCCATGCTGCTGCCTGACCCACAAAAGCCATTGGGGCCAATGGGGCAGAGGTCGATCGGCCCACCTCCCAGGTGAGGGTCATACTCGGATCCTGACTGAAAATAGAAAGCTGAAAGCCAGGCATGGTGACGCTAGCCTGTAATCTGAGGGCTGAACAGTAGGACTGCCGTGAGTTGGAGGCCATGAGTGAGGGACTAAGAAAGGACTTGGTGTCACAATGGCTGCCCTTGCAAGTTAACTGGTCAAAGACCACTAGGGGGCAGAATTTTCTCTCCTTAAAAGACGTACTTCACTGTTGTGGGTGGGTCTCAGCCCCGGTCACAGACGCGTTTCTTTCTTGTTTTCCAGCCAAGAAAGGGAAAGGAAAAGCCTGAGGTCGGGACGCTGGAGAGCCTCTGACCTTACCTGGGTCCCGGAAGGAGCCTTCCTTTCAGCGGGCCCAAAACATAACCAGTGCCTTTTGCCTCTCTGTCAGCTTTGCCAATCACGCCTCTGCTCTCTCACGCCACACCAAGTGCCCAAAGTAGGGAGGGACCAGGGATTCTGGGAAGCTTGCGCCTCCCCACAGAGGGATCCGTTCCCAGCACCCCATTTTGTTCTCCCCGCCCTGATACCTGTTACTAAGAAATGAATAAAATGAGCTCACATTTTTTTCTTCAATAAAAGCTTCTTTTTTAATATATAAAAGCCCCTTCCCAGGGAGTTTGCCATGGAATTTTGTTGGGGGTGGTGGTGGACTGAAGGGAGTTGAGGGTTACCAGGAAGTGCTCCCAACAGCTCATGGAAAGAGCAGAACATTTATGAAAATGTCTTCCAGAGTCCTCTGGGTGCCATCTCTCCCAGGGACCGGGTTAGGGAAGAGAACCCAGATTGAACTCTGCCTCTTGCGGGTGCCTGGCTTGCCTCCCCTGCCACTGAGGCCTGCATGGGTCACCAAGTTCACACATACACACACTTTTTCTTTCCTTGGGTCCTCCGTCGTGCAGAGGTAGAGGGGAGTATTGTCCGTCATCTGATGTGTGACCTAAGAGGCTGTGTTCTCGACAGTAAGGTCCACCACTCTGACTCAGTCTTGGTCCCCTGGAGTCAATTAGCTTCTCGGCTTGGCTTCCCAGATGCCCAATCCAGCTGTGACTAAAGTGTCAAAGGGTACCTCAACCCGGCTTTCCCCCACCCAGAGCCTGGCTGAGCAACTATGGCAGGGAAATCTCTCACCCTGGAGTGGGACCTGGGGGAGGGGAAGGGCTGAGCCTACATGCAGGGGGAGGGGTGCAGGGAGCCAGAAAGCACCGATTACAGCAGAACGGGGTACCCCACCCTTCCAAGCCTGGCTCCTTTGATCCTCTCGAGATGCCCCTGACCTCTGCTCGCCTAGCCATTCTGCCTCTGCTGATGGTTGGCCTTGACGGAGCAGCTGCCTACTCCAGCCATTGTCCCCATCTTCCTGAGACAGGACGACAGAGAGGGGACAGGTGGTGCCAGTTCGCACCCTCCCTGGGCGGAGCCTCCTGGGTTTCAGTAGAGATCTGCTCTCCAAACCTAGCAAAGAGCCTCTTGTGCCTCTCTGTCTAAGAGACCTGTTCTCTTTAGCAGATGCTCAGAATGGGGCCACCTACTCTCTCCTCCACAGCCGGTGAGCCCATGTGGTTCCCCGGTACACTCATGACACCAGCACCTCCTAGGACACCTGCCCGTCTACCTGGCTGTGCCGATGTTCCGATACTGGCACAGCAGGAGGTGTCGGAAGGTCTTTTTGAAAGTGGCATTGCAGAGTGCATAGCAAGCAGGGTTAATGGTGCTGTTGACGTAGCAGAGCCAATAGCCGATGGACCACACCCTCTCAGGGATACAGCTCTGGCAAAAGGTGTTCACCAGGACCATGACATTGTAGGGTGTCCAGGTGAGGATGAAGGCGAGCAGAATGGCAAAGATGGTCCGAGTCACTTTGCGCTCCCGGGCCGCCATCTGTCGCTTCTTGCGCACCTGGTTGCGAGCGATGCTGGCGAACTTTCGGGCCACATTGGCTGCTGGGCGCATGCCAGCTGGCGTGGCGGGTACAATCTCGATGGCTGTCACACACTCATTGCCTGTCTGCTTTGTTACAATCTGAATCTTGGACCATTTAGAGGCTGGGTTGAGGGTTCGTGGCTGCAGGGTAGGGGCGGGCAGGGCTGGCGTGGCCTCTGTGGTGGACAGTTCTGTGGGTGGCCGTTCCTTGGTATTCTGGGTGGCACTGCCCGAGCTAGACTCATTGGAAGTGTCCTTGTCGGCCACTGGGCGTGGAGGCGGGGGCAGGGCTGGCGGAGGGGCCTCTTCTAGCTTCCCGTTGCGCAGTTCCTCTCGAGAAGCGCCCCCTGGTGGAGGTTTCTTGATACTCGGCTTCATCAGGGGGCTCTTGAGGAAAGCCAGCGTCTTGGCCTTCTTCTCCTTGGGACCCTCAGGCCGATGCTTGTGGACTCGACTGCGACTTGCCAGTGAGATGTGAATATACAGCACAGTCATGATGACCACGGGCAGGTAGAAGGCAGCAATGGCTGTGCCAAAGGTCACTGCCGGGTTGGACAAGAACTGGATGAAACACTGGTTGTCAGGCACCGTCCTCTTGCCCACCACAAACTGCCAGAACAAGATGGCAGGGGCCCAGAGCACAAAGGACAGGACCCAGGCAGCAGCGATCATGAGGCCTGCCATTTTAGTCGTGCGGCGGGCGGGGTAGGTGAGGGGTTTGGTGACGCAGAAGTAGCGGTCAAAGCTGATGATGAGAAGGTTCATGACGGAGGCATTGCTTACCACGTAGTCTAGAGCCAGCCACAGGTCACAGACCACTGCGCCCAGGGGCCAGTAACCCTTGATGATGTACACGGTGTAGAGGTTCATTGAGAATACGCCTATGATAAGATCGGCACATGCCAGGCTGAACAGGAAGTAGTTGTTGACTGTCTGCAGCTGCCTGTTGACCTTGATGGACAGCATCACCAGGATGTTACCCACAACCGTCACCAGGCTCAGCGAGCCCGTCACCGTGGCAATGAACACCATCTCCACTGTCTCCAGGTGGTTGTGGGATGCTGTGACCAGCCGCACAGACTGGTTGGCTGAGCTGCCATTGACCGGGGTGAAATTCGACATGCTGGGTACGGGCAGGCAGTGGCTGCAGGAGGAAGGAGACAGGGAAGGGGTTACGATGAGGATGCGGGGTTACGCAGAGGCTAACTGACATCACCGTGGCAGGAGGAATTCCATCCAGGAAAACGTCAGGGTTCTCTAACCCACGGCTCCTCAGTTTTCACTCCCTTAGCTGAGAGCCTCACAGGGGCCGAGTGCTGTGGTCAGCCCGGGGCTGAGGTTACGGGAGCTAAGGAAACACATGGTTCCTAGCTCAGAATGGACAAGAGAGAAACGTGAGGGGGAAAAAACCGCAAAAAAGGAAAAGAAGGCAGAGTGAGGGTGAGGGCGGTGAGTCAGAAGACGGGCCTCACCCTGCCAGTGAGCACGGGCCTCTCCCGGGAGATGATGGGACGGTGACAAAGAGGCAGCCATGTGAAGAGCTGTGCCACATGGCTGGGATAACGGCAGACCCAGTGACCTGGACAGGCCAGTGTAGACGGAGCCCAGTGACCTGGACAGGCCAGTGTAGACGAAGCCCAGTGACACGGGCAGGCCAGTGTAGACAGAGCCCAGTGACCTGGACAGGCCAGTGTAGACAGAGCCCAGTGACCTGGACAGGCCAGTGTAGACGGAGCCCAGGAAAGCAAGGGGCAGCGGGAGGCGTGGTCCCAGAGGCTGGGAGGGGGAGACCAGAGAGAAGTGTTCATTTGCTCACTCAGTCACGTCCTTCCCCATCCTTGCTCCTTGGGCACTGAAGATGGTACCAAGGTCACACATGGCAGATATATACCACACACATGTACCTCTGAGCTACATATTCAGTTCTGCTTGGTCATTTCTTCTCTTTCTTTCTTTCTTTTCTTTTTTTTTTTTTTAGATAGGGTCTTACTGTGTAGACCAGGTTGACCTCAAACTCAGTTTGATCTGCCCACCTCTGCCTCTAGGTCTGGAATTAAAGGTATATACCACCATATCCAGTCACCTGTGCATTTCTGAACTGAACATCACCAAGCTCCAGAGACTTGTTCTCCTGTCCCTACACCCCTACCCTGCAGACAGAGGCAGTGGTGCAGGGGTGTGCATTAGTAGCTGGCACCAATCGTATCAAGTCCCTCATAAACCTGAGGCGGATATTGAGGAAACAGGCGCAGACGTGTTAAATAGCCTCTGTGATTATTTAAATAAATGGGGCTCCATGCTTCCTTGATGTCTGGTTGCTGGTAGAGTGCATCTGGGGAGCAAAGACGATGGTCCTAGAGCTAAGACACGGGATCTGATGGTTCTAAGGGTTAGGAACGTTACCCACGGGACCAGAGGAGGCGAGGCGAAAGCCAAGCCCCCCAGAGAAGGAAAAGGAATGGTTCGATGACTCAAGTTCAGCTTTGCCTCCCCAGCCCAGTCCCAGGGGATGAGTGGACAATGCAGGCCCAGCTACAGGCTGTCAGCTCCCCAGGGCTCCAACCGCAAGAAATCAGAAACCTAAAAGCAGGCGTGGAAGCTCAACCTGACTTCCTAAGAACCAAGACCAGTCTAACCTCCCTGGTGGACCCAAAAGGTGAGGGAATTACCCCAGAGAGAACCCAGAGTCAGCCTCCCAGACAGCCCCACAGGGAGGATGCCCCACAGGGAGGATGCCCCACAGGGAGGATGCCCCACAGGGAGGATGCCCCACAGGGAGGATGCCCCACAGGGAGGATGCCCCACAGGGAGGATGACCCACAGGGAGGATGCCCTACAGGGAGGATGACCCACAGGGAGGATGTCCCACAGGGAGGATGCCCCACAGGGAGGATGTCCCACAGGGAGGATGCCCCACAGGGAGGATGTCCCACAGGGAGGTCTGGCAAGGCCCCTCCCCGAGTCTGCCTTTCCTCCCACCAGGCTCCCTACAGCTCTCTCCCTCCCCTTCCTCTTCCATACATGTGAGGGAGGCCCACGCCCAGCACGCTGTGCCCGGGCTCAGCCCAGCCTCCTTCACACCCGCCAACACACAACCATTCCACATACGCACACAGGCCCATCTCATCCATACGCAGGTTGTATACGCAGTTCTGTGTGTGTGTGTGTGTGTGTGTGTGTGAGAGAGAGAGAGAGAGAGAGAGAGAGAGAGAGAGAGAGAGAGAGAGAGAGAGAGAGAGAGAGAGAGAGAGAGAGAGGAAAAGAGGGCACAGCAGCCGGATGTGGAGGAAAAAGCACAAATCTACAGCCTCGCTCGGTTCAACAGGAGGCCAGCAAGGTCGAGCTGTACGATCTAAGGAGGGTCATCTGCCCTCTGGTACTTAGCTCCCTCATTTACAAAATAGAGGATCTTGTCCCACCACAGCCTTTGAATAGCCAGGTGATCCAGTTAGCGCCTCAGCTTGCTCTCCAAGTGGAAATGGCACTGCAGGCTGCAGACACATGCCAAGCTTGGCCCCGGTCCTCCAGCCCAATCATAGCAGGCACTGGACCCTGCCTTCTGGCTTCAAAGTTAGCTTCTCCTGTGTTAAACCCTTGGGTCAAAGGAGGACAGGAGGAGAGGGGGTAATGATACCTCCAAGGTCACCCAAGGAGCCAAGGGCAAAGGAAGACCGTCCTTTCAAGAGTTTCCACAGGGCTGTTCAGCTCTGAGAGCCTCCAAAATGGAGCCTCAAGCGTCAGCCTCTGAGCCGGGATACTGGTAGCACAGAGGCCACCTTTCCCGGGACACTCACTGGCAGGGGCAGAGGTAAGCCAAGGAAAACCCCACTTTAGTCTCCCAGGGCCCCAACAGAGCCAGCAGCCAGCAGGATAAGAAGGGGTTTGGGGTGGGAAAAGATGTGTGATAGGAAAATACAACATGTCTTGTTTATTGAGTGTTAACTTGAGTCAGGAGTCCCTTGTTGCTTTTCCTATAGATCATCACGTTTAATGCCTATAGCAGCCAGAGAAGGTGTTGCGCTATTGCTAGCCTCATCTTACAGATATAAATGTCCCCTTCTGTAGAAGAGCTTCATGCTGATGAATTTGATGAAAGTCATTCAGTTTGTAAGATGGGGGTGGGTTGGGATGCTAATCCACACCAGAGAGAAGCCCACCAGATGCACCTTAGGTGCGGAACCCTCACACCCCATCCAGCTCCCTCACTAGGATTTGACCTTTTGTCCTCCTGGCACCAGAAACAGCCTTGACAAGTAAGTGACCAGATGAATGGTGGGTGGCTTGGTCTTCTCGGGGCCCTGCCAGATGCAGACTGGGTAAAATTCAGTTTTCTCAACTCGGTCCCAGTTTTCTTTCCGGGACTCTCTGATTCTCTCTCAGACGTTCACACCGCAACACCCGCGGACACAATTTTCCCCGGAATCCGGACCCACTAGGATCTGGGAAGGTAAGCAGCCTTCGCCCTGACCTGTGCGCGCCACTAGATGGCAATGTCGGTCCCCGGGTGCTAGCTCCGGACCTCGAGACAGGTTCACCATGTCCCCAAGTCCCAGTGCAAATCGCGAATACAGAAAAGCCTCAGGGCAGGGCTTCTCCTACAAGGGACCAAAGGCAGGGGGACACCGACAGACTTCGTGGCCTTAAACTGCCACGAAGATTCCCTAGGTTCGGCCAGGGGCTCGAGGATGAGAAACTTTAGGGCGTCGGGATTCCTTCCACCAGCACCTCGCAAGGCACCCATCAGGGAATGTGTAGGTGGGAACGTGAGTGCAAGTTCTGTTTGTGTATGACTACCCGAGAGCGCGAGTAGACACTAGTAGCTTCCTGCATGTGCCAGTGTGTGCACCGCCACGCCTGGATACCGGTGCGCCTTTGAGCGCGTGAGCGTGCCACGCCATGTGGACACGTGCGTGTGCATGTGTGTGCAAGCCTGAGGTGCTCACGGCTTGGGTCGGTCTACCTGCGAACTTGTGTGCTGGACCATTAGCGAGTGACCAGCCACATCAAATACCTATGGCGGGAATCTCCCGGCTTGCGGGGTGGCGAAAGGGTTGAAAAAAGACCAGAATTTTGGCTGCGAGGAAACCCTTACTTTGAAACCATGTCTTAGCGGCCCGGGCATTCTCAAGAATTGAGAGCGCACAGTCCCAGCGCTCGACTTACGTCGAGAAGCCGCTGTGGTAGTCGCCCAATCGAGCCGTGAGGGTCATGGGGCTCAGTTCGGAGTACCCCATGCATTGAAGGCAGGGGCAGAGCCTTCAAACGGGGAGCCCAGTCGAGGCTTGGGTCGAGTGTACGATTGGTCTCCTTCGCTCTTCAACCTGCACCCACTGGAGAGGCCCTGTCTAGTCCCATCAGCCAAAATAGGCACCGAGTTCCCAAGCTGTGGAGTCAGTGTACCTAAAGGGCCACCTCAGGGCTTACCCTTGGCCCACCTCGCATCTCCTCCATGTCTGGGTCCAGGTCGAAAGGGCCAAGGCTGTCTGATGCCCCGCCCTCCCATCAACCCCCAGCCACGCAGTTCCTGTAGTCTCTGGGCGTGGGCACTGTGCTTCAGCGGGTCCTCGAGCCCCTTCCCCTGCTGGGGACGACGGGAAAGGGTGCTCTGGGCGCCCGTGGGGATGGCTCGTGGGGTACGTTTTCGATTACTAAGCGATCACTTTAGGAAAGCTATGGCCCCCGATCTGTCCCTGGGGTGAAGAGAGCCTATGTACTTAAGGGAAAGGGAGAGGGGCGCAGGATATTGGGCCAAGTCATTGTGCCCAACACTTCCTCTGAGAGCTAGAAGGGTGGGGGACCCGGAGACTATCTCCCGGGATGGGTAAAAGCAAGGGTTAGTCCTGGAGAGGGGGAAGGGTGCCAGGAGAGAACAGGGGTATTTTCCGTCGGGGCTCAAGGTCGCGTACAGAGGACTCCACGGGCTAGAGCTTGCTGGCAGATCCGGGTGGGCCAAGGTGGGAAGGGAGGGCAGAGAGACGGGCGGGAAAAGGGCGCTTTGGGGCTTCATCTTCCGGCGCCCTATAGAGCAGCCAACCGGAGGGAGTGAGGGAGTGTGGGTCCTGACCCGACGGCTGCCCAGCTTTGGGGCTGGGGCTGTGGGCTCAAACTCTTCTGTCCTAGCCGCCTGGATGATCACCCATCTCTGGAGGCGCACCTGGAGAAACCTTTCAGGACCCGGGATCCTTCTTCCAGAGGGGTCTCCCACCCCTAAGCTCTCCGCCCCTTCCGCACCGTGCTCGCCCCTTGAAGGGTCTGGGACTCACCTCTGGAGACCCCCAGAGGGTCCCGGGGCCTCACCTCCTCGCCTTGCATAGGAGCCCCTCACCCCCGCGGAGTTACTCACCAGCTGCTTTTCTGTCTTGCTCTGCTGCGCGGGACAGACGGCGGGACAAGCCAGAGGGCTCGGGAGTCGGCGGGGTGGGTGACTCGGCCGTGGGCCGGGGGCGGGGACGGGGTGCCAAGGGGCGGCCCCTGCTTCGCCTGCAGCTCCCGGCGCTGTGGCTCCGACTCGCGCTCACGCTCGCACTTTTCCCCGAGCCGCGTGATGTCACAGGGAAGCAGCCAATCGTGGTGGGGACACACCACCCTCTCGGGGCCGGTCACCCAGCGGCGACGCGCGGGGGTCAGCACCTGGAGTGTCGGACACCCTTGATGCTTGCGCCCCTCCTGGGAATTGGTCGGCGACTGGGGGCTCCAGCATCGAGGGCACCACCCCCAGTCTCCTGGGCGGATTAGCCTCGGGCGCTGCCCTCCGGGCGGGGGAGGGGGTGGAGGGGCTGTCCGCGTTGTCATGGGGACAAGGCGCCCCCTCGCGGGCTTGGGAGGAACAAGGCGGCCAAGTCTGGCTACGCGCCCCGCCTCAGCCCTAACCACACACTCTAGACCCCGAATTGTTTTCGCGCCTCTCCATGGCTTCGGCCCCTTGGTTGTCCGGCTTGCGGTTTAACCGCGGTCTTGAGAGTTTGGTCCCAACAGGAAGTGGTGTGTGGCGGGGAGGATTCGGCCAACATGCTTCTGTTGGCCGCCGGGCAGCCAAAAGATTGGAGCCGTCGGGGCCTGAGAAAGAGAATGAGAGAAAGGACAGGCGAGCGTCTAAGGTGGCAGAAGACCAGGTCCCTTTCCAGGCCCGGAAAGGGTCGCGCACCAGTTGCGAGACCGAAGATGGCACGAGCCTCCTATCCAGCCGCGACACGAGGAATGAGTTCACCGCTGCCTACGAGGAGAAGCCCGGTGCCCAAGGTCACCTGGGACAGAACAGACCCCCAGGGCGACCCGGGTCTCCCAGACCTCCTGCAGCACACAGTATTAGTGAAGGCCCCAAGTAGGCAGATTCAGGACCTCGGACAGCTCTGCCGTGGCCTGGGCGCTTGGGTCGAATTGCGGGCATCTCGCACCAGCGCTTGTTCTTCCTGAGCCAGCCAGAGTTGGACGCGCCCGTCCGCGCCTGGCCCCGTCACCCACAAAGCTTCTTGAGTGTCAACAGCCGACTAACCTTAAGCCAGCTGACTCCTTTTCTTGGAAAAACAACTTGAGTCCCGCCTCTCCTTTACCCTCTCACAAGGACCGGTAGGGACTCCCGAGGGGAGTGGCGGTGGTGGGAATAGCTCTGGAGAAAGAGGTAGGGTGTTTTCAACAGAGAAGGGGTGGGTACCTGAGCTAGAGCTGGTGAGATGGGGTTTCTGGGGCAGGCTTCTCCATGCTGAGGGGAGGTGGAGGTCAGCTCTGGTCAGAGTTGAGGGCTAGAGTTGGCTGGGCGGGCCGGTGTGAGAAGCCGTCTTCCTGCCCATGGGCGCTTTAGTCTCCCATGACCCTCATTAGGGAAGATGAAGAGTGCTATTGCTCTTGCCCCAATCACAGACGAGAAGAGGCTCAATTGATTCGTATGACTTTGACTTCTTCCACTTTGCCACAGCCCTCTCCCTAGGGCCCAGGAGCAGAGCCCTTCCAGGATAGTGGAAGTGTTGTGTATGGGAGAAGGTGGACCGTTAAGCAGTCACATGAGGAAAGCAGCTGGGCTTGTGAAGGACAGGAGGTTCCAGAAACCAGAAATGCTTCAAGCACAGTCAGCCAAGTTTACAGGCCTTTACCTTGCCCACCCGCATCTCGGCACTCTCGGCACTCACAGACGAACCTTGGAAACTGAACCGGAACTAGGGGACCCAGTTGAGTGGCTCTGCTCCTAACGGCCTCTGAACATTTTCCTTATCTCCGAAGGGACTGCCAGTCTTTGCCTTGCAGGCACCACGCTTGTGTTGTGTAAGGGGCCCGGAAAAGGTTTACCACTGAGGAGGCTCTCCCTGGGTGTAGACTTCCTAAGGAAAGGAACTGGTGTGCAGACAAGCTGGTGTGACCTGCCCATTCTTGGCCAGTCAGTAGAGGTGGATAAGGCATGCTCACATTTGATAATTGGACTGCTTTATCCCAAGCCCTCTTCACATTCTTGTTCCCAACCAACTAGAGAGCATGTCCAGATCCCACTCAGTTTCCCGATGCCTTGACTTTTGTGTTGGTGACAGTGGCTGTTAGTCATATGGTCTAAGGTAACTGAAGTAGTCACCTGAGGTTTTTTTGAGGGGCAGATTGTTCCCATGTAACACATAGTTTACACTCAAATTCAATCTCTACTGTCAAACTAAGTCATACTTCTTCCTGTTTGCAGTAGTAGTAGTAGGTGGGAAAGACCATATATGTCGGGGGCCATGCAAGGGGACCAAACAGGAAGCACTGGAACTCATGGAACAAGGTTGAGCAGTTGGCAAAGCCCCAAGGACCAAGTGTTCTGAGGACCACATGCTGTTACTGAGCACAACTCTGATTGTTGTCTTCATGGTCACCGTGTCCCTCATGATCTATGGGTTGTATGAAAAGTCTCAGGGGTTTCTAGCTCTCACTGGGCAGTGTTACTGGCACTTACAACAGTGACTGACTTTTTCCAAGCATTGCTGCTGGAGCAGATTAACGATTCAACCACCAACCTTAGAAAGAATTTAGACATGTAGAATTGTTAGTAAGGTTAGGTTGAGATATTTTTGTTAATGGCTTTGTGGTAAAAATTCTTGGGAAACTAAAGTTTAGAAAGATATACTCTTCAATAGTTGAGCAAGGGATTTGGAACAAAACAGTGGCAATCTACCTATTGCTAGCTGATGTACTTTTCTTGCTAGGATGAGTTGGTGACAAAGGTGATGACCAATTCCTTGTACCCATTTTGGCCCTCAGCTTCCTGATATGCGTTAACAAAAAACTGTTGAGTGGGTATGCACTCTGAGTACACTAGTGATGACTGATTGTTTTCCATATATAAAAGTTTATATTAGTGATTCTTTTAAGATTGTTTGTAAGATAACCTTTTGAGATAACTGAGAAAAATGCCTTATTTGCTTACACCCTGTTAATCTGTAACAAGTTGCTTGGACATGAATGTATGTGGGTTCTTGGGTAAAATTTGCTTTTCATTCACTTATAATACATAAAATATTTAATCTGCCAGGTGGTGGTGGCACACATTGTTAATCCCAGCACTTGGAAGGCAGAGGCAGGAGGATCTCAGTGAGTTCAAGGCCAGCTTGGTCTACAAAATGAGTTCCAGGACACCCGGGACTGTTACACAGAGAAACCCTGACTTGAAACCCTCCCCCAAAAGTTTAGTGATGTAAGGAATATAAAAAAAAAACATGTTTTCTTTTTTTTTTTACTTATATTCATTGTAATCATTCACTAAAAAATAGATTGTAGCTACAATGTAATTTATACAGCTTGAAAGATTTTGCTGGGGTATATAAGCTGTAAGGGAAAAATTAAGAATAGATAGAAGGAATACATCTGGATAGAGATAAGAAAAGGAAGAGATGAAAGGGAGATGACAGAAAGACCCTAAAGGTAGCTAGGTAGGGGTGTGTGTGCGTGTATAAAATTTCCCCTTTTTGCCAACTCCAGAATTAAGTTTTGCTGGACTTTCTGGCCCCAGAGAATTTTTACTCCCTCAGGAAAGTCAAGTGATTAGTTCACTGAGTCAGTGACCCCCCTCAATCCCTGAACTGCTGAAGGCCAATTCTCACTACAGCTATAAGAATAGGCTTTGAGCTGGGCGGTGGTGGAGCACACCTTTAATCCAAGCACTTGGTAGGCAGAGGCAGGCGAATCTCTGGAGTTTGAGACAGGGCTGGACTACAAGAGCTAGTTCCATGACAGCCTCCAAAGCCACAGAGAAACCCTATCTTAAAAAACAAAAAAAAAACAAAACAAAAAAAAAAGGCTTTGCAGTAGGGTATCCCTCTCCCTTAAAGGAAGGTCAGTCTCATATCTGTGCTCTGTGAGTTGGAATGGTTTGAGACTACAGGGCTGAAAGTAACTTGAAGCAGTCCCTTAGTGCACTCCTACAAGGGGAATCAAAGCTCACGAGAGTCGAATCCTTGTTCTAAGTCACAGTTAGCCAGTGTCCACTGATACAGCTCATACACTCTTTAGAAAACGTGTGCTCCTATGGAACCTCAGTGTTGGCTTGCCCATTTATGGTTTTGCCTCTGTTGTGACAGAACCATTTTCACCATCCCCACCACCACCTCCTTCCAGTATCCTACCTGTGGTAGTCCAGGTTGCTGGCAAATGCCCCAGAGTTACTCAGCTTTTCCATTAAAGAGGTTTACATTAAGGCCTCTCTCACTTTCTAAAGACCATGGCAGGGCAGGTCTTCCAGCTAACCATGGCACCTTTAAGGATACTTGCAGACAAGCCTACGGTCTCCTCCCAGCTGCCCAGAACCTGCTGTAGTGGTCTCCAGGACTGGAGAGTGCAGCTTTTCGTCATGTAATCATCACTCAGGCCCACAGTCCTGAACAGCTAGCAATCAGGATGACTTCCTCCATCCTTCCTGCCTAGCCAGCTGCCACTGAGAAGCTGCCCCGTCTGCATCAGGTCCTACGAAGCAACCCTCAAGCTGACTTGGGTTAATGCGTTGGAGAGGACTCCACTCCTAGGTCCACTGAGATGCCTATGGAAGTCCAACTGCCCAGTTTGATGCCTTCCACACCCCAGTCCCAAACCTTCCTCCGTCTCCATGGAAACAAACAGGAGCCTGACGAGGGGCATGTCATCATTTTAATGATGTAGATCTTTGGTGTCCCCCTCATTAGCAGTAGACTATCCCCTCTCCTCCCACCACAATATTTCTATGATGAGTGACAAACAGAAAGGAAATCACATTTTCATACTAAAAACAAAATGATCAGAGCCTTGATTTCTCCACTAAAAACTACACGTACAGTTCAGGATTCCACATGCAACACCTCAGATCACAGAGCAAGACCCCACATTCTGACCTGGAATCTCTCCCTCCAGCCTTGGGCTGGCTTTGGCCTAGGCTTAGGTAATACTGACACCTATAGGTGCTGCATGGAGGGCTTTGGGGTAGGGTGGGGTTGGTGGACAAGCTGGGGGTGGGCCAGCCTACACCCCCACTCCTCAGGACCTGCCCACCACCGTTGACTGCACCCTGTGTCAGGCAAGCAGGTCGCTTCCGTCACTCCACAGGCGTCCCCACTTGTAAGTATAGGAAGTCCCCACATGGAAGCTGCGCCCAACTTTTATGTCTTTGTGTGCTGAGAGGATAGACAAGCTGGAACTCTAGAAGACTTAGAGTCAGAAGCAATTGGGAATAGGGGTAGTCTGCTCCTTTTCTCCTGGTGGCTGTGTCCCCAGGTTGGGAAGGAAGAACTGCTCTACTGTTCTGTCCAGGATGGTGTGCTCTACATCTGGAAGACTTCACTCTTCTGGGGCACCTGCCCAGGGCCGAGTCCCCTAGGCCAGTGACCCTAGGAGAAAGGGGGATTTGTGGCACAGATACCCACTTGCTTCTTCATTCACACCAGGCCCAGCAGTGTGGCTCTTCTGGGCTTCAGATCCTGGAGGGCTCTAGTCCCCCAGGCCAGTCTTGCCCCCTTAGACTGCCTCTTATCTACTGGCTCCATGCCCCACCCCCTGATTCTTCCTGTTTCCAGATGCAGGCATCAACTCTTCTGTGTGTACAGTTCCCAGCCAGCTGTGAGGTTCAGCTTCTATTCAGTGGCTTGAGGGGAGGCACCAGTGCCTGTTTTGGATTCTACCGGTTCCGTGGCTCCCCACTAGGGCCTGCAGCTTCCCCTCTGCTGTTGCCATCACCCTCAGGAAGGTGACTGTTATTGGTCACATTGCAGTGCATGGTTGGTCCCTCATTGCTGGCAAGGGGGACTGGAACGGGGGTAGGGGAGGAAGACGGCGGGGCTGGCTGAGGTGGTTCCCTCCCAGAGGTACTAGGCTGGTCCCAGGAGGCTGTCCGGGGGCTCAGGCCTCGCTCTGTCAGCTGCCCAGGTTCTGAGAGCAGTCCCCGAGAGGTGGAGGGCTGGGGTGAGGAGGTACGAGCAGCCCCTGACTCCGTGCCTGTCTGGGAGCTGCGGTGAATGCGGTGGCTGACGATGATGTTGTTGCCGAAGCCACCCATGGAGGCCATGGTGGTGCTCTGTTCTCGTTGCACCACAGCTGTCATGCCACCCTCAGCCATTAGCCTCTGGATCCGACTGAGGGCATCTTCCCCACTGCCAGCATATTCGGAGCCCTCCCCTAGAAGATACAAAGCAGAGCAAAGAAGGCATTAGTTGCTGATCTGAGCCTGAGTCAGGCAGCAGGAGCCAGCAGATGCTCGAGGATTCTAGTCGAAAAACAGGAATAAGAGACCAACATCACCACTGTGAAAATTGGGAGCCATGAAAGCAGGACAAAGGTCCTAAGTATTACTGTTCCTTCCTTGTTTTACCTGGGAGGAAGCGGCCAAGGCTACTACTCATCTGTTTCAAGGCAGAGATGGGCCTAAGGCAAGTGCTTACCTTTAATTAAGCCTTTCAGCCCCATGCAGAGTGCAGGTTGCTTTGAAAGAAGGCAGAGAGGACTGAAAAGCTTGCTTTGTCTATTCTCTCCCCATCTGTGATGACTTTCAGACCTGGTCCTGGAGTGGGATATGTGCCCTGCAGGGTGTGGCTCAAAGGCAGTCTGCCATGCTTTATTTCAGCACTATCTTCCTTTAGCTGTGTTGTTGTTTCTTTACTTCCTAAAGCCTGGCTTTAACTGTTCCTTAGAAGTCCTCTCTCCTGTCCTCTACCTTTATGCATGGGTCACAGCTCTCCCTGGGATACATGTCTGATACCATAGCTGAGAACTGGCTGCCAGTCTGGGCCTGTGAGTCCACCCTGCAGCTCTAAGTAGGGGAAGCATGGGTCTGTTCCCCAATGAGACATGGACATTCCCTGCAAGACAGACAAGATCTGGGCTCAAATCACACAGCTCTACCATTCATTTGGTGCTGGCTGGACTTGGTTAAGACTCTTAGCATGTGCATAGTGCTGGAGAGGAAATGAGAGCCCACATAGCAGGGCAGCAGCAGTAGCTCTGCCCAAGACTTCCCAACTCCTCACCAAGCTCAGCAGCTCTGGTCAAGGCTCCCACCTGTCAGACACAACTCCACTGAGTGCTGATCTATCTCCATTGGCAAGATCCTGTCCAGTTTTGGATTCTTTGGTTTTGGTGTACTCATGGATGAGTTATTTATTTCAAGGTTACTTGTCAATAGCTGTTTTTACAAGGCTTTCTTTGTCCCCTGCCCTGCGTCTGTTATGGCTTGCTTGAGTCAGACTTCCAGGCAGTCACTTTTATGACTTAGCTGTGTCTGAGATCCCATCAGATCCCCCTTGCATGAGACTTGGCAAGTACTTGCCCATGTTTTCCCTCCAGGTCCTGACCCGTTTTTCTTAGTACTAAGTAGTGAGGATTTTACCCAGGCTTTGTCTCTTAGCCAGTTGGCTTTCCATGAGGTCCCTGGGAAACTCTGCTCTTAACCCCCATGATGGCTGCTCTCACCTACTCTATCCTGAACAGTTAAGCTTCAGCTTTGCACACAAAAGACTGAGAACCTGAAGGGCTCTGAGTCCCAAGGGCCACACCTTCAAGCAGCAGGGCATGGCAAGAGGGATGACCAACCTAGGACCTCAGTGTCACGAGACAATCCCCACTGCTTCCCAAGAGCTCTCTGGGGACCTCGCCTGCTCCTTGGGGGTCTGCAGTGATCTTACCTGGGTCCTGTGTGCATTGAGCCCATCATGTCAATTGTGTCTGCTCACCTCCCAGAACATCCCAGTGGTTGTTTCCAGGGAGGGAAAGCTACCTTGGAGCCCAAAGGTGCTATACAGCTCAG